GTCTCTGTTTTGCTATATGGAGCATTTTAGAATGCATGGTTTAGCACTCTTGAACCCCTTAATGGAGCAGAGTTATGAATTTCTCTCCTTCAATATCTCAAAAATCAGACTGTAAAGTGTTATGACTTCCTCCAGAGGTTACAGAGATTCACTCAAACAGAACAAGCACTTTTTAGTGCAGAGAAACACTGGGATAGGTGAATGCACAAAGTTTCCCTGAACTCCTGACACACTACCTGTACTCCACACTCCCTCCCCTTTATCCCTGCCTGTTTTTTCTCCCTCCTCCTCCTCCTCTATCTCTCCAGTGAGTGGCAGGGCCAGGATGGTGCTTCTGTTGTGTGTAATAAATGCTGTTGTATTGAGCCCACAGGGAAACCCTACTCTCCTCTCCCAGCCATTACTGTCTAATGGCCAGATGATGGGAGAGACACACACAGAGCCTTGTCACAGACAAGCTGATATACTGCCTCACTATGTGTTCACACATGCATGTGTATTGTGTGTGTGTGTGTGCGTGTGCATGTGTCATATAGAGGCTGATATACCACCCTGGCCCCTGGGCAGGGGGGGTCGTCGGGGGGGTAACAGCAGTAACTCACTCGCAACCTGATCAAGCAGTGATAAATCTTCTTAGCCATCCTGTTTCCTGACACACACACACACACACACACACACACACACACATACACACACAACTCCACCCTCTCACTCCCTCTTACCCATCGAACCCTTAGGGCGACATTGAAAGGGATATGCGCATCACTTAAACTGTCCCTCGTGTGCATTATATTACCACAGAGATGTTATGGTTCTGACTTACTGGGGGACACTGTTTCTTTTTTCCTCCATATTTAAAGTATTTTTTTCTTTTACTACAGGTGAAAAAAGTCATACTCACCAGTTTCTTTCCCTGTATTTTAATTGTATATTGACTGCTCTCGTTGAAGTTAAACATAGTCTTTCTAGTAATCTGTGCCATTTTAACAGTTGAGAAAAACAGCTTTGTTCCTCCCCCTGGGCACTGGACACGTCCAACTTTACAGCCTCTGTCGGGGTGTTTTTCCAGTGACTTAAGGCAGGTGAGATTGTGCCTGGTGCTCAGGTGGTTTTAAGATCTCAATCTTTCCTCATGGCTATATCTTGGAGGGAATGTATCACTGCTATTCTGTATTCCAATAATGCCCAAGGACAAACAATTTAAGGTGTTTTAACCAGTTTTATCCTTTGTCAACAGTTTTCTTTTTTGCTTGAGAAAACTATTTTTGAATAATTGCAGAGAAGTTCTTGGTATGCAGGGGATTATTTGAGCCCATGACAAGATAATAGCAGCCTCTTTTTTTAATTAGTTATTTGTGTCCTCGTGAATATATTTCTTATTTGTTGAACCTGGGTAAAACTGTTTAAACTTTTCAAGCATTCAGCATTTATTCAGCATTTGATCTTGTTGTCTTGCTGAATGCTAACGTGTCCTTAATGAATTCCAGACTTGGAATTCAGACATCTTTTGTATCGGGAGCACAGTGGCTGTCAATAAAAGACGCCTTTTTTAATTTTTTTTTTTATATTAATGTGTACATGCATGCAGACACATACATGGGCGTGCACACAAGCCATTACACACCGGCACACAAATACAGCTTCACAAACACTAGAGAGAATACAAGGACTGGACAGTGCAAGGACACCAACCCACTTCAACTACAATCAGACCAACCTTGAGAGGCACTGGTCCTTTTTCCTCCATCAAGCTCAAAAATAATTTGAATGCCTATATAACTCCCAAATTTGCTTGCTTTGAATGGCAAAACTCATAAATACCCAAACATTTGATTGCTCTCCTCTAAAACCTTATCTCCGAAGATAAACATTGAAAAGCCTTTTTATTTTTTGAGGAAAAAAAAAAGAGAAATTTAGCTTTGACTTTTTTTTTTTTTTCAACAGGACGAATTGAGGCTGTTTAAACCCAACCCTCGAAGAAGCCAATTGTGCCTCCTAACAAAGGACCCATTGCTTTTTAATACTCACATTGTAGATGTGCATGAATGAATACAGATACATAGACACCCTTGCACAGTAATAATAACTCTACATCTACTTTTTTAAAGATTTAAAATGCACAAAAGTCAATTGCAGATTTTTTTAAACAATGTTTCTACATCTTTACAGCCTTTAGCAATGTGCGTGAGTGAAGGTTTGTGCACTTCATGTCACTCACTTTGAATGGTTATTGTAGTTAAGCATATTAAGATTAGTTTTCCCGCTATAGGCCTCAGATTTCATTTCTGGTAAAGCCTTAAATAGGTCCAAAAACAGACACCCTGATGCCTTTCTTCAGCGCTGACACATGAAATCAATTCAGATTGTAAAGAAGATGTGAGGAGCCGTCCAGGGTCAGATGTTCGTGTGTGTGGTTGTGTTTTTTCTCTGTCTGGCCTGCGACAGTCTTCCGTCCTAAAGCCTCCTGTCTTACCTGAGGATTAGGTGGATCAGACATTGATTGACAGATCCTCCGTTTTCCTCCTCCTCCTCCTTGAGAAACACCGTGTTTGGGGTTACGGAATAACACAGGCGAGAAACCGTGACTACAACACACCCCAGAGTGGACCGCAGGAACACGAGGTCTCCTTGTAACCGTGCGCTTATGTGTGTGTATGTGCTTGCATGCGCGTGTGCAAATTATTGAGCTGTGTAAATAAGCATGTGTGTGTTTGCCTCTAAGTGTCTGTATATGTGAGGGTCCGTGTGCTGCTGCAGGAAGATGAAAGGTGTGTGTGTTGAGCCCTGCTGTCAGTCCCTGCCATGTTTTACAGCCCGTCCGCTCTGCACAGTGATTAGAGCTGTCGACTCTGATGTGATGACATGGGCTGAAACCACAGCAGGGGAGTGAGAGAGAGAGTGAGTGAGAGAGAGGGAGACAGTCAGCAAGAGGCAGTTTGAGGGTCAGTTGGAGATCAGAGAGAAAGTTTTGAGTGAGGAAAAAAAAGAAAGGGAGAGGGTTTAAGAGAGAGGGAATTGACCTTGACAACAGCTGCAGCAGAAGCTCTTAAAAATTGTGGGCCGCCCCAGGACCCCGTCTACAGCCGCGCTGGTTCAACATACAAGTTGCTACCTGCCGCTGTAAAGCTCTCAGCCCACCAGTTGCTTACTGAAAGTCAACATGCAGGAACACCTTGTGTGCTCAACTCGCAGAAAAAAACTGATGATGAACAGGCCATGTGCTGTATGACAGCTATAGGAGAGGAGAAAGATTTTCTCATATGTTAATACAGCTCAACTTAAGGGCCTCAAGGAAAGGATACACATAGTTGCTGACACTTCTTCACATGTGTTCCCATCCCCTCTTTTTCACCTTTAGCGTGCCCCTTTTTCCATATGTTCTTAATCGGGCCAGAGGGAGGGAATTGACGGGGGGGGAGTGCTACTCAGGGCCTGTTTGGGTTTAATGTCTGCCCCTGCTCTAATAGAGGATAAATAAACACTGCACTATTGCGGGGTGCATAGCTCCTATAGACACACACAGACACACAGAAAACCCACCTACTGGTTGTGTGGCCAGTCAAAGCTAATACAGCAGAAAATGGCTCGCTCCCCTGTCCTCCCTGTGTGCCGGTGCTGTTATTACTGGAGCCTAATAAGGCCCAGATGCCTAATATTAGACGTAATCTGTCAGAATAGTTTTGTTTATGTAATTTAATTTTTCTAAGCAGTTGTTTCCAATTAGGTTGTTTAAAAGTTTTAATTGAATTAAAAAGGAGATATCTACATGAAGAGGAACAGCATTAAAAAAAAAAAGGCCAGGACCAGGGTAGACATGTGGGAACAAAGCTGTTTTGGCCTGTGTGTGCATGTGTGTGTGTGTGTGTGCTTGTGCGCCATGATACGCACCTATCATTACAGCTTTCCCATTATTGTCAAGCCTCTCAGAAGTGAGTGCTGTAGCGTCTATGGTAATTATGACGTTATGAGGTGGCAATTACACTGAAATGTGTTTGACTGTCAAACGCCCACTACAATGACATGTCATCCTGCTGAGATGAGCAGGAAAAAAATGGTGGTAATGGAGAGAATGAAAGAAATAATGTGGAGTGACTGCTTTGCGAAGGGAACTGAAATTGAGGAAATTCTTACGAAGGAAGAAAAGGCCCTGCATTGTACACGGTACTTGACCACATAAAAAAATGTGGTTATGACAGCCTAATGTAGGGCTTACTTATGATATATAACTTTGTGTTAAAGTCCAGAGGCTATAGTTAGCTTTGTTGAGTACTTAGTTACTCAAAAATGCTGGTTATGGCAGATAGATTTGCACTACTTTTGGTGGGTCTGTTCAGGGTTGCCAGTTCTGTGTGAAAAACCAGCCTTATGGCCAATCAATATGAGCCCAACAGCTAAAAAGGCCATCCAAGAACAGCTCAATGCCAAAATTAAGCCTGTAAAACCTCTGCCAGAACAGAAATACTGTATTCTTTAAAGTAAAACAGTGGTACTATGTGTCAGGCACTAGGCCGCTTAAGCCGAAAATTGGTTTCCCTCGGTTTGGACCGCCCACAAGGTCCTTGATTGGCTCCGCCCCAGAGCCATTTTTTGTGTGTGATTGGCTATCCCTGCTGTCAAGTCATCCCGCACCTGCCAGACTAGAGTTTTGCAAGTTGCTTGTAAGAGTCAGTCCGTGAACGTCGCTATTTGCCGATATAAGTTTACAGGAGGGCGGCGTTCATTTTCCCTCAGTGACGTCACATACAACAGAGGTTTCATTTACATCCCTGTATCTGGTTTGTACTTCCATCCACCTGCTGGCTGTAATGCCTCCTCTGTTACTGTGTGCGAGATGTGCTGTTTGCTAGGCTATATGTCTCAACAGTACTCAACAGTACTCAAGTCACGTGTCCCCCCTACCTTTAAAATCAAAATTTCGCCTGTGCATGATACGGATGTGTACAAGGGCCCTGCAATGCGGAGCAAGTGCGTGCCAAGTATTAGCATTAGCGAAGTATCGGCAGCAATGACAGCTGATTAACCCCCCCCCCCCCCCCCACACACACACACACACACACACACACACAGATACAGTAAATTCCCATTCTTCCCATTCTAGGGGAAACATTGAAATGGTAGAGAGGCATCTTAGTGACACTGAAACTTTGACTTTAAAATCAACAGACCTGATATTCCCTCCAAATCTGGCTTCCTAGTAAACCCCTGAGCCTTTTATTTAGTTATTAAATTTTTCTTTGCATTTATGCCGCATTTACACTAGATGCTAGGTCTGACAGTGCTACCTGCTGCTCTCAGTGCTTGGGGCAAAATTCTGCATGTAAAAGCAGTGGCTCTGCCCGTAGCATAGCCTGTGGTGCTTGGATGTTTCATCATTCCAGCGTGTGAATTTGCAGGTACATACACAAACAGAGCTTATTCAGAGAGGAATATAATGGAAGGAAGGTAGTTACTACAAAACCAAAAATACCGCAGTTCTCATTATAATCTTGAACCATAGCTGTTGTACTCAACAGTTCAGTTTTATAATGAGAATTGTGGTATTTTCAGTTTGAAATAACTTGTCTTTGCCATTAATATGTTTATGATGTATTTTGAGTTAATAAATAGAAAGGCACAGACATTGCTGTCAACACTAAATAGTTCAACACAATATGAAGTCCAATTGTGACAGACGAATGTGACTCTGAAAACCTGAGTGCGTCCTTCATCATTTCTTCTGCATAGAGAACTGGGATGCTTTTTTTTTTTTACTTCCTTTTAATTTTCAAAATAGCTTCTGTATTTCTTAGCTTTATTTGGCTTTTGTCTGATACTCTGCGGTCCTCATCAACTCCTCCAGCCAATACCTGCCACTCACCTTAAGCTCATACTAGGTGCACTACAATGTGGAGTCGTGTGACATGAAACTGGCTGACACTTGAGGGGATATTATAGAATCAGTGTTTTTTCCCAGTCTCACTGTACACCAATAAGTCTGCTCCTATTTGAGTTTTTTCTCCAGTGCTCATAATACTTTAATCTTGGGATCTTTTCAAGATTTAATGAGAGGGTCTTGCTCTTGAGGTACATAGTCATGAGATAACTTTTAAAGAATGGCTCTATAAGGTTGATGGATTGATGCATTTCTTTCATGGTGTGATTTCTGCTTTGGGAAACTATTTACTATAATCCTTGTTGATTACACGCTTCTAGCTCTCCTAAACTGTGAGAAATTGAAGACGGTGACCTGACCCTCATCTCTTTTGCCCTCATTAAAACCATAGCCACAGTCATTCTCCTGTTCAACCACAAGGGGCACAAATGAGCAGAGAAAAAAAAGAGCCCTAACTCCCTGTGGCGTCTGCCCAAGGCCTTCACTGAAGAGCTGAGCCAGTGTAGTGCACGTGCTCATCTTTGTTTATGTGGCACCTCGAAGCTTTAGCCAGTGTGCTGTTGTGATGTATGGAGTGGAGAGGGGGTTCAGAGTGGGGGGTGGAAGGAGGGATGGGGGGGCACCTGTCATGTATCCCGAAGAAAGAAAGGCAAGTGAGAGCATTCCAGAGGAAAAAAAAAAAAAGGAGGTAAAGGAGAAAAAAGAAAGACAAGGATCCCTTCAGCAGGCAGGGTAGTGTTGCGTGACTGGCATTTCATAAACACACACACACACACACACACGTATGTGCAGACCAACAAGCATGAAACATAGACATCGCCCAGCTATGAAGCCAGCCCTGATGTGTTTTCTCTCACTGGTAACTTTAGTATGGATGATTTAACGCTTAACTGCAATCAGTGTTAAAGCGTTCCACAAGGCTCACTCAGACATAGCTGCTGTGTGTGTGTGTGTGTGTGTGTGTGTGTGTGTGTGCGCCTCCCCCAGCCATAACAGACTCCTGGGCTGTTTAGAGAGGCTGGCTACAATGCGGAGGACAGATGTGGAAAACCCCTGGCTCTCCAGACAAGGGCCTCCTTCATCCCTCCTTCTGCTGTCCTTCACTTAGACGGAGGGATGGAGGGATGGAGTTACTGAACTAACTTCCTGGATTACATCAAACACTGCTTTCCTGCTGAAGCCTCACATCTCCTCCCTCCGTGTCTTTATCTCTCTGCCTCTCTCTCTCTCTCTCTCTCTCTCTCTCTCTCTCTCTCTATCTCTTCCTTTGCGTAGAGTCTGTTTCTCTGTCTCTCCATCCAGACATTGGTGTGTTTGTCCAGGGCCATGTCTGTCCCATGAAACGCAGGCCAGAGTGGCCTTTTTCTGCACTCTGTGTGCTGAGGTGTATTCACATGTGTTAAAGTGCAGGTGACATGCCCAGACTGAGGCACTGATTTATGCAGTGTTGGCATGAAGTAGTGCATACAAACATATATGTCTGAATTGGATTTATTTCCAATTTCTGTCTCCACTCTATTTCCACTGTAGTACAAAAAATAAATGATCATATAGTCTTATTTTGATAAATGAAGGCAGTATAAAACCAAAATTGTGCGATTGTGATTATAGTGGACAATATATAAAGATTTGACATTGTGAAATGATAAATAGTATAAAGAGTCTTACAGCTTTGTTATCCAGGAACATGCAGAGACTTTAGTTTTTTAATGTGTATTTTTCTATTGGGTATATACAAACATTAATACATTTTGAATTATGAAAAAACAAGAAGAGAAAAGATGCTCTGGTGATTTTTTTAAACATGAGCCAAAAGCTCGCCAGAAATTTAATGGAGAAGCACATTAACGGGAAGAGAGGTAAGAAGGGCTGTCCTCTTTTATCTGATGTTTAAACTCTATCAGAAAAGTTCATATTGTCACTACAATAAACCTTTTAAACTCATGATGATACAGTATACCAACACATCAGGCAGCAGTAGCTTGCTGTGCAATGCAGCAGAGGGCGCTGTTATTGTAACCTGGCCAATCTATGCACTCTTGACCTCAATAAACAAATAAACAATGTTGTTCAACAAAAAAAAAGTGAAGGACATGGTCATGCAAAGCCACAATATTGTGCACACCACAGATATAAATAGTAGATAAGACATGCCCCTTTGAGCTGCGTGCCTACAGGGCAGCCATCTTGGTGGGGGCATGGTTCCCATTAAAGGCAATGCATGTACAATGAAAATAAATCATAACTTGCCCATTTCTCAACTGATTTTTTTAAAGTCAGTTCTTTTAATGTCAATGCTAAACATGTGCTATTAATACAGAGCATTTGATAAAAAAGTTTAAAAAATCAAATGTTCTGTATTAAAAGCACGTTTTGGTGTTGAAAATCAAGTCAACCGCAAGAAAATTGGTTGAGAAATGAGCATGTTATGATTTATTTTCCGTTTACAGCTCATGCCTTAAATAGGACTGTGGCCCCAGCCAAGATGGCTGCCACGTAGGCCCGTTGCTTTGCGGGCTGCTACAGTGCACTGCTACAGCGTGCTGGCGTATCTAGTCTTCTATATGTATCTGTGATGCACACGGTCAGGGCACCAAAACATATAAAAAGTGCAGTGTTGAAGTATTTTGGGATCTACACAATAGGCAGGAAAAAAAACAAAGATAAAGCTGGATCGTAACTTCGTACAAAGTAGCTGACTTACTCAATAACAAATTTGCAGGCTCACCTGATGGCTTGCTACCCATGTGAAGTGGTGGAGGACCCACCACCGATGATTGGTAACAGTTAGTGTCAAACCCCACATGATTTAAGATTCAGAAAAAGACCATCACTGACAAAATAGCAAAATTCGATCATATCAGAACATTTGTACCTCATGTATGATCCATGTATGATCTGATCACCTTGACAACAGGTGTAAATGACTCCTGAGTTTCTGTCATTTTTCTCTGATGTTGTTTCGACATCCTTGAGCTGTCTCCTTGTCTTTGTCTTTACTTACCTGGCCCCTCATTTACAGACATGCATCATGCTTTTCTCTGTGCGGTCTCAGGTGTTGATACAAACTGGCCATGTTGCCACACACCACAGTGACTTTGACTTCAGAAGTTTTGCACAACACTTTTCTTTGTTCTAGGCTTCATTCTGATCAACCTGTGGGAGGTTAATGCCAATTATTGCCATACTTGCATGTTTGGGATTCCCTTGCAGATCACACTCTGGTTCACTGTGAATTCTCCACCTCCAGATTAGAAATCACAGTACCTACTGTCCTTCTCAGACAGAAGTTGAAGTTCGGCCAAGTTTCCTCTATTCTTTTAAAATCAAAGTGAGTGAAAAAAAGGATCAGTTGCTGTACTGTGCTGTCATGAATGTATGTTGGTATGCAAAAGTGTAGATCAGTGTAATCTTTATCTTTTGGACAACCACATGTGAAACTGATGAAGAGAAGATAGATTCCAGAGTCTGTTGGGGGCCGTGCCATCCCAATGGGATACCCCAATTCATGATATCTATAATATTTGGATATACTGTATAATAAATATAGACTAAATTGTATTGTTAAAAAATTTTGACTTGAGCCAACATGACCTCAGTCAACTCTACATAAATGACAACTGCAAATCCACCAAAAATGATGGAAAAAAAGCTCCAAGTGGAGAAAAGTTTTGCAGTAGCAGGAGGAGAGAAAGTTTGCAGTCTGACGAGGGCTGTTGTAATTGAGTGAGTTGAAGCATTAAGCAGCAGGTGTTTGTGCTGTGTAGAAGGCATGGCCAAGGCAGCGAGCTGCAGAGGGCAGTCAGTAGCCACTGAGCCACGGAACAAGTTGGGGATAGGGATTGGCTGTTATCTGCCCAGCCGTCTGCAGCTGTATTTACCGCCTTTGTTTGTTGTTCCCTAAGCAGTCGGAGATATGTGTATATGTGCGTGTGTGTGTCTGTTAGTGTGTGTTTGCTGTTCCCTGTGCGGCCTGGGGAGGACTGGGAATTTTCTGTGTCAGTGCGTCGGAGGATTTTGGCTGGAGCTTTGTTGATCCTGTCTTTGTTGATCCCATGTTGTTGTAGCAAGGGAAGCAAGAAGATTGAGGCATTAGCCATGGCAGCCAGGATTTAACCCTCTACCTGCCCCCTCTCTTCCTTCACCCCACCCCTAAGCCTGACCAACTGGGCCTGGTCAGACACCCTCTCTGACCCATCCCAAGTACCTTCAAACTCCCGCATAAAAACAGAGCAAAATGCTCTTGGTTCCCCTCTTGGTTTTTGTGTCATGCTTTCTGAAGCGAGCCTATTTTCAATTATTGCCTCTCTCGTTCACCCAAGCACCCGCGACCAGAGGTGTGCGATGTTGATTGTGTGTCTTAATGCTCAGTTTGTTTGTGGCTGTGGGCCAAGTGATCCAGATGCCTTTTTTTTATTTTGCTTGTCCAACCAGTCAAAAGATAGCAAGTTGTGTGGGTGTCTGTTTGTATGATGCGAGATAAACTGCAGTTTTGGCACTGCGTTTTTCTGGCATCATAAATAGAGTGAGTTGTTTCAGACTGAATAGTTCTCAGCCCTCTGTGAGCTGTGAACTATCCTCTCTCTGGCCTGAAGGTCAGGATAAAAAGTGTCCCATCTAAAGAAGCAAAGTGAAGTGGAAGTAGGCTCAGGGCTTTAGCCTTCCAGTGTGACCCTACAGTTCCAACCCAGCAGTGGAGCACACTACCCTGCTCAGCAGGAAATCCTAATAATTTCGGAAAGAAGAGGGGAGCAGGAGAAACTTCTGCACCTTGCAGTTTGTGCTGCATGATTTAGCATGTTGGGACTGCATGTGTGTGCAAGATAGAGACTATGAGGAACTGCATAAAAACAGAAACCAAACAGGCAGAAAAGGATAAAGTGGCTAGTCTGATTAAAGCTGGAGAGAGAAAAAAAGTTTTTTTCTTCACTGCGTTAGAGTGTTCATGCAACAAAGTGATGTACAGTTTAATTAAACTGTGACCAGAGGCCAAAGCACATCATTCCTGCAGCTCTGTCCAGACAGGTGTAAGCATTTGAGCATATTTGTATCGTAGCGCTCTGTCTTTTATGTTTGAGTAACATTGTCCAAGCTTGCCAAAAGTGTTTTAACACACAGTTTGAGTTTAGTCAAAAAAGTTTTAAAAAAAGCACACCATGTACCTGTTCACTCACCCCTCCTGCATGAAAATAATCAGTTTAATCAAATTATTAATGATTGAAAAGAAATAAATGAATAAATAATTGTAAAATGAAGCCAAGTTCCTGAGAATGTTCTTCTCTTTTTCTTCCATGGAAGGCTTTAACAAACACCCTCTTAGAGAAAATAAACAATAAAGCCACAGTTTTCCCTTAAATCACTTTCCCACCCTTTCCTGTTTCACATAAGCTCCCTCCCTATGGCTCTTCCTCTCTAACCATCACACACAGCAGTCACCTGCAAAGGATTAAGAGGGTGTGGAGGTGGAGGGAACTGGGTTTTTGTGTGTGTGTCATGGTTGTTTGTGTTTCTGTGTGCTTGGCGGGTGGTTGGGTGATTTCAGAGTGTAGTGGGTGTTCAGCGACCTTCGAAGTTAGTCTCTGTCAAGACCTTGAACTGGTTGACTGACATTTAAGTTTATCTCTTCATCTCTCTTTTGATCAGACAAGCTAGTTTCAGTTCAACTACCGTGGTAAACAGCATCTTTAACAATCTGTGCACTTGTTGATACACTTATGTTTATAAAAAGCAAGGTACTTTTATGTTGGATATTCCCACGCACAGGTTAAGGTGCTTGCTGTTAGGTTATTATTAGAGCACTAGGTTTTTTTGTTGTAGTGTTTTTCACACATTTCACACAGTGTTTTTCTCTGCAGAGATCTTGAAAGAACCATTTGCAACAGTAATAGTTTTTAGAAAGCAACAAGTCCAGCACCTGGGAATTATAAGGAAAAAAAAAAAAAAAAGATTCCCTGCGAGAGTAAATGCGTGAAAGAAAATAAATGCAGTGGTATTTCTGTAGCATTTTCATTACAGGTAATTGCTCTGTATTAATGTAGCATATTGCGAGGGCACAATTACTATGCCCTGCACAAAAGCGTAAGACGATATAAAGGCATTAAGTGAACGTAGTGTGAAGCAGACTAAATCTAAAAAAAGAAAAAGTGAAGATAAAGTTGAGGTCATCCCTGAATGAAAGACCATGAAGACCTAAAGGAAGAGTTTTTGTGACTGTTGTTACAAGGTTTCAGAGGGGAAAAAACAAATCATTACTGCCAGGGTCATTAGCATTATTAACTGGAAAAAGCATGGTCCAGTACAGAAAACACATGTATCTCATTAAACAAGAGAGAAACATACAGAATCTATGCAATATTCAAAGCTCATCAATATTTCATCGTAAACAGAAATTCTTACGTAAATCGCAAACTTATGCACATCTACAGGATATCTACATGTTTCAAACTCCCCCAGAATAATGTTCCTTTTCATATTGAAATGTGTTATACTACAACAACAACACCACCACCACCCACAAGACATCTGCAAAATGGTACACAAGTGAAGATTTAAATCAGCAAGGCCAAAAGTGATTTTCAGTTTAACCCAAATTCCCCAAAAGTGGTGTAAACTTATGAACATTATGATATCTGTTTATTTAAAGGCAAAGTATTCAAGGTTGAAACTGAGAAAAAAAATATGGAAAATATCCATTTCTCTTTCTAAATTTGAAGATGGCCAGTCTGTTCAAAAATAGTTATCTTATCTCTGATGGATTTTGATTGTGTCTGTATTTTCTTGCGTCTGGTTGATCACAGCGAACCATGGCAGTTAGTGTGCCTCCTGGAGTAGTTTTCCTGGTGTGCTGTCCCAAGTGTTGAATGCTTTTTCATGCAGAATGGGCAAGTACTGTGTGTTCAGTTCCCATATACTCAGGATGCAGTAAATGACACAAAACACGTCTTTCATGCAATTGCTGGCTTCCCCAAAGCAAAAAGCTTAACTCCATGTCTTCCAGCTTTGTTTTTTGTTTACGGCCACTCTGCTCTCCCAAACTCTTCAAAGTAACAGACTGTAGTGCACACAATATTCTCATTTAAATCGGGCAGTCTGCACCACTTTGGCACCTGTTATCAATTGCACACACAATCACAGTAGATCACCCACAACACGCCCACTAATAGCACTTGCAAAATTTTAGTTTCCACATGCAATTTTGGACTCATTATTTGTGATCTTAGTAGATCCGGCCCATTGGGTATAAATCATATGCTCATCTTTAAAAACTTTTTTTAATTTTTAACATCTTACATGACATCCCAACTTTGTTTGGAATCAAGGTTGCAGCATCTAGTCAACATACTTGCTTTGCAGGAAACAGAAAAAAGAGGGAAGTGAAAGACAAAGTCAGGACACCATAGGAGCCCTTTGGTTGTGGGGGTACTGTTATTTATGTAGCATATTTTACCAATGAATTTTCTTTTGGGGATCAATAAAGTTCTTGTATTGTATCCTGTTGTACTGTAATGATTGTTTTAAGTGTTTTTATTTTTCAAGTTTTTGGGGCAATAATGCGCACCAGATTATATGGCGCACTGTGAATTAACGTGTCTATGTTCATAAGGTGCACCGCATTGTAAGGCACATTAAGCATTGATTGGTTTATTGTTGGTAGCGCATACTCCGGGCCCAGGCTTCCTTACATGAATGCACTTCTAGTTTAGACATTACAGTCAGGCCTGTTACGGGGCCGATCAGGTAGCGACACAGCGTACCGTATTGTTCCGAATATCCATTGTTGCTTACCAAAGTCGTACTTACACATTTCGACAGATTTTTGAGCGCATTGTACCACCTAAAATTGGTCAGTAAGCACAACAAGTAGTCATGCATAAGGCGCGCTGGGTTATAAGACACACTGTAAATGTTTGAAAAAAATTTAGATTTCAAGTGCGCCTTATAGTCTGAAAAATACAATACTCTTGAACCATTTTTATCCTTTCAAAGCAAAAGCTTTTTGCTTCTCAAAACCAAAACAGGTAATAAAGTAGACCTGATGTAAGGCAGTAAAAAGACTAAATAAAACCATCAAAGATAGCAGTCTAGGGCGCATGGATGGCCGAGCGGGTTTGTGCGCCCCATGCACGGGGACCAAATTCAGCCCCGACCATGTGCCCCTCTCTCTCTACCTCCCCACATTTCCACACTGTCCCATCAATAAAGGCAGAAATGGGCCAAAAAAATAGAAATGGCAGTCTAGAGAAGATTTCTTCTGAAGCTTGAACATCAACTTGGTTAGTTACATCCTCAGAAATATTGTAAAAGTTCTTATTGTCAACTTCGAATAGTTAATAGTCTATTATTGAGAGTTGGGTGTATTGTTGCCTTCCTCTAACCACCTCAGGAAGAATAAAATGTTGAACAGAACCAACAATGCAAAAACCTTGCTTTTCTTAGGGGCCTCTAGACTTCTGCACACTCTCACACATATTAACTGTGTCACTCTTAGGTTTCCTGAAAAAAAATGGGTTTACAACGAACCGTGTCACTGCCTTAATCAAACCATCATGTTTGTTTTTCTCCTCATTCACACAAAATTGGGTCATTTTTGTACAAGTGAATCCTCCACTGATGCCACCTCTGTCTTTATGCCTTGGGAGATATTTTGGGAGGAAGGAGTACAAGGTTTCTGTCTCTGATCACGTCTGCTATTGTGGTGATGCGCGGTAAAAAAAAAAAATATATCAGTTGGGTTTACTCTGCAAACTTCTGGAGCAAAGCGATAGAAAGCAAGACACGGAGAGAAAGATCAAATTGAAGCTTAATTTAGTGTACAAACATGGATATTAACGAGAGGAAAACAAAACAAAGACAAGGAAGTGGAAAGTGAGATAGTCGGGGGGGGCAGATATTAAAAGAGAGACAGGAAAAGATAAAGAAAAGAGAGAGAGAGAGTGTTTGTGTGTGTGAGTACGTGGGCTGAGGTCTGTCAGGTTGGGTAGGTGACAGTGCTGTGTGTGTTTGCGTCTGTGTGAATGTGTGGATATATGTGCACGGTGCGGAAAAGCAATCACACAAACAAATTAATTAGTCTCCCCCAGCAAAGGGGTTTGATAAATTGAGCCGCTCATCTCTTCCTCCCCCACCCCACCCCACCCCCCTCCTTCTTTTCTCTTTCTCTCCTGCCCTCTTTCCCTCCCGTTTGTCCTTTTCTCACTTTACCCTTTTTTTCTTTGTGTCCTGCTCTCTTAAGCAATAAACATCTCATTACCTTGTCCTGCTTTTAATTGTGTTTTTTTCACTGTCAGTGGTTTTCCTGTTTTGCATCAAAAGTCTTGCTGCACGTTTCGTTTACACCATTGCATCTACACAGATACACACACACACACACACACGCCTGCAGACAGCCCTGTAGTATATCCAGACTTATTCTCACTCAGCCCCAGTCGCGTATTTAAGGCCTCAATGCCACACGGCTGTACTTCACCTGCATGTAGATTAAGTAATATGTTTTAATTATTCATATTTCCCGTTTTTATTAGACCACTTAACTGCAATATTATTCCCCCAGTTTGTCAATGGGCACTCTAAGCACCTATTGCAGAAACGGAAGCGAGCAACTTCAACAACAGAAAGATGTAACGAACACACCAAATGTATTCATGAGTTTTTTTTTTTTTCCTCCCCTGTGTGGATGCTGGGGGCTGGAATGAAGACTGTGTCTCTATTCAATTATTACTCTCTGTCACATGCACAAAGCACGCATGCATGCACACACACACACAAACACACACGGAGGCGTTAAGCAGTGTGCACTCATTAAACACTCTCATTATACACAGGAGGAGATCCCTGCAGGTGCAGTTTACCAGAGTTTAGTTCGTTTCCTGCTCCTCCTCCTCCTCCTCCTCCTCTTTTACATCTTTTTCTCTTTTCTACTGGCATTATTTACCTCTCTTACAAAACTTGACTTCTTAGGAGTGTTTCCTGTCTGTCCTCTTGAGGTGTGCAGCTTTCTGACTCTTATATTTACAGACAGAAACATGTCCCACATCCTCTGTGAACATTTATGAACATGTGAAAGAACCTCGCAAAAAAACCTGGACTAGGCAACCCCCCAGATCTTTATCACTACTTATTTATTCAGTCTACTTTTTAGAGCTGATGCTATCTAATTTAAAGGCCATTTCTCCTGCTGGAAACTTGATTATTCACGATGATTCATATGCTAAAGTGAGAGTGTCTGAATGGCTTTTTTTTCCCAGGCTGTATTATTTTAGCCTGCTGAATGTTTCTTTGTAGCAAACCTCTCATTTTCTCTGCATGCTCATAGGCTTTCATACTCTTTTTCAGATTGACATGGGCACAAAAAAGCCCTTTATACCTGACCCATTACAACTTCAGATGAGCCCCGTTCACAGAGCATTAGGCCACGCTCTGCATGTGTGTATGTACATTTGGGGACGTGATAATAAGGAGAGGGAGAGAGGGAGAACTCTCGGCTGGTGGTGCCGTTCAAATAGTTTCACTGGACTGTGGCTACCTGAGCGCGGTTTGCTCTATTGTCTGCGCCCCAGCTACACCATTCAACCTCCACATTTTCTCTTTAATGTTCCATAATCTCAGTGACAGCCTTGTGCCTCCTGAAGAGAACGCATGTGGGTGACCTTTACAGAACAAAAGTGAGATTTGACAAAGTTTAGAAAGTATAGAGTACACATGAATGATAAGGATATTTAGTGTGAATGCAGAAGCTTGTGATTGACGGTGAATTCAGTTTTATATTTCCAGGTCACCGCTCTGTATTCGTTCTGTCAATATCCTTTTGAGCTCCAAGAAACATTTTGGTATCATGTGTGAGTGTGAAAGACTGTCATAGTTAAAAATTTAGTCCATGCCATATGCTTTAATTAATTTGCACTAATTTGTTCGCTGTTTTTTTTCCTCCACACAGTGAAGTAATAATCCATTTGTCTCTGTTGCGCTGCACTGCAGTCCTTCTGACCTACTTTTCCTTTTCTTTTCCGCTCCCTGCTGCCATCTTCTTTCTTCAGCAATGATGGAAAAAAAAGTTAGGTATTGTTTTTGTCCACTGGCCTCTCCTTCATCAGGTCTGTAAAAGTGAAGCAAACTTCCTGGGTGTGTCCGTCACTTTTGTGTGTTTGCACTTGTGTCTGTTTACTGGAGCTTGCGTCCAAAAATCAGACCTGCGTTGGAAACAGCTCGCCTGTTTTATTGGATCAGCCAAAGAACGTTTCAGGGTTCATTTTTTTTTTTTTCTTTTAAGGAATGAAAATGTCTGTTGCTTTAAATAATGATTGGGAAATGGCAAACAATCTTTATGTGACTATGATAGTTGCACATGATTACAGTCTTTACACCCTTGATAAACAAGCCGAGCGAGTCTAACATAAGAGTTATTGAGAAATGTTGCATTGAGTCGACTCTCTCTCGTCAGTTTGTCAAATCCTCCCTCTCCCTGAGCTTGTTGTCACCTATAACTCATTCCTCACCTCACCTGCCCCCCCCTCGTCTTCCTTGTCTAATCTAATTCAGCAAAACTGGGTAGAAACTTCTCTGCTGTAAGGCTCAGGATGTCAGATGGCATAAACCCCCTGTTCCACAAAAGCTAACCCCCACCCCCCCACCCCCGAAACCTGTAGGTTCAAAGAAAGAGACGCACTTCACATGACGCAATCATTTTGCATTGATTCCTCTCAATTCTCACTTGTATTCAGCTGTTTTTGTTCAACCAGAGATAACATTCAGGGGAGTGTGTGTGTGTGTGTGTGTGTGTGTGTGTGTGTGTGTGTGTGGAGAGATGGGAGTTGAGGAGGCAGCATCCCAGAAGGGTTTGGATTCTTAAATATGCCTCACTGTCTTTTGTTAAACATGATGCAATAGTGATGCAGCACTGACAGTGTGTATGTGTGGGCACATGTGTGTATGTGTGTGTGAGTCGGAGCTGATCTGAAACTGTGTTTAAGGCTGTTTTTCAACCTGCAGGAAATTATAGGTTCAGGGAAACCCCTCCCCTGTACACCCTGCCACCCCTTTCCGTTTGTGTGTGTGTCTGTGTGGGCGTGTGTGTGTGTGTATAAGAGGGAAAGAGCATGTATGCCTGTGTACCTGTGTGTGTGTGTGTGTGTGTGTGTGTGTGTGTGTGTGTGAGTGGCAGGGCTGCTATCTGTGCCATCACATGTGGATGTGTGTGTTAATAGAGAATGCCCCACGCTGCCACCGCCTTTGTTTGCCAAGGACATACATATGCATGAGGCCCATGTGTGAGCGTGTGTGTATGTGTATATGTGTGTAGTATGGGGGGGTTTACTAATTACTAGATTTCTATCATGAATATGTATGGCCGCATCCTTTATTATGGGATTGGCTTAAACACATCACACAGACGGACGAGTGGCAGAGAGAGGGAAAGTGGGGGTTAGGGCTCAAGAGGGGAAACGCCTCTTTAGAGGGAAAAAAAAAAAAGGACAGAAAAAGGGACATTTCCGCTGCCTGTGATTTGGACCTTCAACCTCCACTGTGTGTTTTTATTAAGCAGAAATTAAACTCGTGTTTCATGAATTTTTTGTTTGACCAAGCAACAGCGAAAAAGGAGAACAAGTCTTTTATTTCAAAAAGAGATTTTTTTTTCCACTCATCCCTATCAGCCCGAATGACAAATGATCTTATCAAAAAAGACTGTTTGACTCAAAGTATCTGTTTTAGAGAGTCATGACATTTTAAGTAGAGGCATTTTTTTTCATGTTAAGAATATATAGGACCAATAGGACAAGAGTTTTGGGATTTGAACGGGTAACTGTTATTAAAAAAGCACATACAAGAATCAAACATCCCTGTGTTGGGATTCATGTATTTTTTATATGTTGACCACTAAATTGTAGAGTTATCAAATTTTTATGGTGCAGTTAATTAAAAGTTAAAACTATGGTAGAATATATAAAAAGACTATAATTTTGATTTATATGTTTGATAATATACTTCAGGAAAAGTCAGTCAATTCTAAAGATTCTTTGTTTTGTTACTTTTATAGAGTAAATTTGTGCAATGATGTGTTAATAAGATAGAAATGATGCAGACTATTTTGGAGTTCTCAGTTCTGGCCTACGTTCAAGGCTTTTCTCAGTTACATTAGAGGACATCTGATCCTGAAATAAAACAACCCTCTGTATACTTTCTTGAATGAAACTTTATTTAAACAGAAAATCTTCATTTAGATTAAAAATCTCATTTGCAAGAGTGTCCTGACCAAGACAGGCAGCAGTACATTTACAAAGTGACAGATATAAAACAATTACAAACAGATACAGACATAACAACCAGCTAAGTTAAAGTCACAGAGCTGAATATTTTCAGTCAAGGCATTTACAGCCAGCTTCATCTTCCTCTAGGGCCTTTAATCTACATTTACAAAGATTTAAAGAGCCCAGCTATCCAAGACACAGATTTTCTTGTAGCAGATTCCAGTCTGCAGGGGCAGCATATCTCAAACTTCTTTTACCCATTTCAAGATGAACTTCGGAGACAGATCGCAAAGTAGATTTTGTGACAGAGTCACAGAACGAAGGCTGTAGCTTCCAGACTTTTTTACATGAATACATTTACACAGGTATGGTGGAAGCAGGTCAAGTATAGCCTTGTTAATCAGGATGTACCAATGATTCAGTCTACGCATTGTTAGAGAAGGCTGCCAAACTCAATCATACAGAGTACAAGAAAATAATGATTTTTTTATGTTTAAAATAGTTGAGTCTTCAAAAAAAACTTGACCCCACTTTGGGCCACTGTCAAAAGTCAATGTGATTTTCAGTTGACCTCTTTTGGAGCAGGTCTGGAGCATTCATAGCAGGGTAGACTGATGAAATGGGCCAGTTAATGGCATTTCAACATAATTGGTGTCACATCAACATCAGCCCTCACAAGGCCGATATCACCATTATCTTTACAAATGGAAAACGCCTTCGACAGCATATCAAATCTCAGACTAGCTTGTGTTTCAAATAAATCCTGAGGATTCTGATGTCAGAAGTAATACAGTTTTATAAGAATAATATCAAAATTGACCTTGTATACTTCCTTCCTTCCTTCCTTATATCCAAAAGACCTTTGTGGAAATGTTTTACTTTACCCAGTATTTTTCTGTCGTTATTAATTGAATAAAATATTCCCTTGAGTTTCACAATATTCTTTCTCATTTGGTAGCATCATTATGTTGAGGAACAACTATGTGATATTAGCATTACATACCAGCCCTCGACCGACCTGCTCTCTCATCATCAGCATCGGCCATTGAAAAACTGTAACCAGTTGACCACCGATTCACAGTGTGCGAGAGGGGTGATCTTGAACTAAACTTTTCTCATGGCTCTCACGTACATTGCTTTTCATCCTTTCATACATTATGTCCAGCTGTGCGCAACATGTATGAGAGGAAAAAAGTCTAAAGAGACCATCTATGACCATCAGTGGACGGCATGTCTTGACTTACTGTAGCTTTATCAGCCTGAGCTTCATTACATATAGGTACATTTTTAAACCGATGGGTCATCAACATTGTAAAACCAGGTAAATTGAAAGTGCTTGTAATAATGCATCACATCTTTCATATCATCATGTGTAATCTTTTAGCTGTAAAATAAATGTGTATTTAAACAGTCTTACAGCAGTCTCTGAGAAGTATTATGAAGGAGTAGGTGCAGTACTTGGATAGATAAACCTCTCCCCCTCATCCTTCTATTCTGTTATTTTCAACAGTACTGTGGTTCATGTCTTTTTATACCTGTTTGGTGCCTAAACATTAAAACATGAAGGAATTCAACCTGATCATTTTCCATGTTTAAAAAGTTTTAGTTTCATCTCTGTCTGGTTGTTTCCCCTCTGTCCAGCTCTTCTCCCTTTCTTTCACACACAATGCACAAACGGTCCCAATTTAAACTTACACTCATGCGATCTGACATGTATACAAAATACCAGGCATTAAGTATTTTTCAGGCTTGTATTGTTTTTCCACATGGACAAACTCAATTACACCAGCCGCGTCTTTTGTTGTGGAAATCTTTCCACGTGAGGGGTAGAAGACAAAAAATGAAAGAGCAGAGGAAGTCATGAGAGATGTAAACAATATACAGAGACGGAGTTTGGGAACAAAGACAGATCTCATGATAGGTTTACAATAATGCATTTCTGAAGTTTTATTTCTAATGAGAGAAGAAGCCACTGGCAGAACTGTGACGGATACTGAGTTTGTTACCTGTACATTAGGGGGCTGCACAGTAAATAGCAATTTCAACACAGGCCTATGCAAAAGTCTCAATTTTTTTAATAGAATAAAAACAACTATTTTTTTGTTTAGCGCTTTCTTGTTTATTGAAGCTGAGTTACTTTAGGGTGAGCCATCTCACCTACCTACCATCACTAGGGGTGGGAGAAAAAATAGATTCACATAAGTCTCGCAATTTTTTTTGTTTTACAATTTTTAAATCAATTTTTATGTTTAAAAATCTTTTTTTTTTTTTTTCAAATTGGAGAATAAATCTTTAAAACTGACTTACATGTGATGTGTATTTTCTGGGGAAATATGGTTCCTGGAATAGTCAGTAGACGATCATAATCTTTCAACTGTTTCACTGGTGTTAATAATACAGACTAAAAAAGCGAGAAAGTCGACAATACTGTAGAATCGCAGTTTAAATTGAATTGGCATCCAAAAATTCGTAGTGGAATTGAATCGGGAGAAAAGCGTATTGTCCCTGCCCTAACCATCACTGCATAGATTTTATGCTAAACAACAGGTAAACATCACAGCGGCTAATACAACATTGTGGATCATCAAAGTACGTATTTCACTCTCAATTCTGCAAAGGAAAGAATTGAAAAAGGTAAATTTTGTAAAGCTGACTGCTTATCATAGCAAACATATGAAGAAAAGGCAGATTGGATGTCTATTGAAAACACGAACCGAGCCACTTAGCTTTGAAGTGGAAAATCAGAGTCGAACTGAATGAGTTTTACATCTTTTATCCTTCACCCCCCACCCCCCCACAGTGTCCACTCTCTAAAACAAGTCACCCCTCTTATAGAATTACAAGTGTAGTTTAGGGAAAGACTGTAGCCGTAAGGTAATTGTGCATCTATCATTCAGTTTGATCACTTTTATTTCACACGTAAACCTTCCACTTCTCTCATGTTTATAAGCCATCTCAATGTGGTCAGTTTGCCTTAATAGTTATTAAAGTTTTATAAGATTGAAGAAAAAGGATTGCTTTGGCTCTTGCTGTTAAAACATTCACCATATGTGTTTCGAGTTATCTGCCCCGGGATGAAAAAGACCGAGAAATCAAATGAATGAAAGCAAGTATCACCTAGGATCCATCTCTCTCACTGTTTTGGACCTTTTATTCTCTCCATGCACTTTCCACTCTGTGTTTTTCTCTACCTGCCTTCTACCCACCCCAACACCTTATAAAACCCACACAATCAGGAGACTATGCTATCTCCTCCTCTCTCCCCTCACCCTCCCTCTCCCCTCCCTTTGCCTCTATACCTCTGACAATAGTCCCGCAATCTGAGCAGCGCAAGGGGAAATAAAGGAGCAGGACAGGTTTTTAAAGAAGAGAGAATGTCAACTGTCAGTCTGGTCTGTGACGTTGGAAT